AATAAACCCTTGAAATACAATTAGAAGCCATGATTAATAAGAACAAGAAGAACGGAAGCATACTTGAATCCATGACGAATTTGCACGGATCTGAATTAGGGTTTGATATTTTAATCTTGAGGGTATCTATTTTAGATTTCTCTTTAGATGGGGATTAAGAGAATTAGAGAACGTTAACCCTAGATTAGGGACCATAACCCCTTATTTATAGATGTTGTACTTTATAATTTGACCCATCATCAAATTATAATTACAACCTAGTATCTGCAGAATTAGCCCATGATTATATCAATAAGTCCATAAAGCAACATCAAAAGCCAACAAGAGCCCTAAAAAGCACTTCTCTACCGCATAAACACAAAGAGGCATGCCATCCAACCATCTCATCCAAAAGACTACGAGAGCCGGCAAAATAACACATAATTTTTAATCAAGAGCAATATTGATTATATTCTCTTACAAAGAGTAGAGCACGAATTTAGATTTAGAAAGCTTTTGAATCATTTCAAATCTTTCGGCTAAATAGCGTTTAAATATCTTATAGATTGCACGACTTTGCATTTATACACATCAAGTTTTTTTCCCTTGACATTTAAGCACCCTATTGCTTTTTTTTAACTAGCATATTACTACCTTTTATTAGTTAAATGCTGGAATATTATAGTTAAGCATTAGAATATTTTTCTGAAGACCTTCCATGTGACTTTCAAATGATAAAGATTAGTCAATTAAACCCTTAGTAGTTTAAACTAAAAAACTCATCTTCAGTCCTATTTACTCCTTCTTAGACTTTAGCTCTAAGTTAGTTCTTACTCCCGTTCGTGGTTGATTTAACTAAATTTAGGGATATAACTTACCAACTTTTTTATCATGTGCAAATCACATAAATTTTTAGGGGAATATTAAAAGTTAATTTAAGGGGAATAATTCTAAATTCCCCTTAAATTCACTACAAGACGCTCCAAGAAATCAAATTAAAGGAGCGTAGGTTGGGATTCACTAGTTAAGGAACACTATTTTAGTTCTAAATTTTAGGTAATAATCTTTTATTTTTGTTTTGTTTTTATTGTAAATAGCATGGTTAATGAATTTTTTTTAATGCATAAAGAAAGCGAGTGAATAAAACACACTCAATTGGGATAAACGAAAGACGCTACACCACATGGATTGTAAAAAATAATGATAGGGGCACACCCTCTACCACACTCCTAACCACATCACCTCTCTTGCTACAGTGTATGGGGCCCACATGAGATTTTAATTTTTAAAATCTCATGTGGGCCCTGTGTACTGTAGCAAGAGAGGTGGTATGGTTGGGAGTGCGGTAGAGGGTGTGCCCCTAGTGCCTCTCGATTGTAAATCCTTTAGGCAAATCTCATGGGAACTGGAACCCACTCAAAACTAATTTCATATTCATTTGATGATTACTTGGTATTTAGTATGATGTTATAATTATTTTCATTGATGGTTTGAACAAAGGGTGGTAAGTAAGGAAATACACTTGATGTGACAAAAATATGGTGTGAAACTAAGAAAAAAAAGATGACGCAATACTAGATTCTAGGGATCAAGAGAAATATATAAGGGGCTGTTTGTTTGAGGGTGTTTTTTTGGAAAACCCGGTTTTTGGAACAAAAAGTAACATTTTTGTGTTTTTAGAAATCCAAAAAGTGGAACATATGTTAGTTTAGTATACACATCTTCATATAGTAATAACATGAATTTAATTTTTATAGATAAAATCCTTCATGTTAAACAAGCAAATCCTTTACTTGCAGACATTGAGGTAATTGAGGAAATTTAGGGTAAGCAATCACATTCATATCTATAGGCTGTCTAAAAATTACTGCAGATAGCTGATCCCTATCAAACATCGACAATAGAAGTTACAATTTGACGACTTCCATATGAACAACTCAACTACGAAACAAATAACTTTCAAATCAACAAATGAAGACTACAATTAGAAGATTTTCACGTAGATCGAAAAAGTTATAATTTGACGACCTTCACGACAATCGATGAAAACTCTGATACAACAATCTTCATAGACAACTGCAGGAGTTACAATCCAACGACTCCCACATTTTAAGGAGCTAAAGTGGAGATTACAAAATGACAATCTCTACAAGTGCCCTAGTAAAGGAGATTAAAAGTCAATAATTTCTTTAAATTCCAAAACACAGAGTTCATTTATGCGTTTCAGATTTACAACATTGTGTGAACACGGCGTTTTCAGTCTAAAACAGGCCCAACTCTGCGTTTCAAATCTAAAACGCAGAGTTCGGGCCCAGAATGTTATTTTCAGCATTTGAATCATTCAAACATGAGTTAAACGGTTCTAGAAACCGTTTCCCCCCCCCCCCCACCCCCCCCCCCCCCCCCCCGATTTGAGGGATTTCCGCCCCACTTAGGAGCGGATTAAGGGGGCAGTTACCACCCTTAATCCCCTTATAAATAACAGAAAACTCAACTGAGTTCGGGGCAGATTTTTTTGGCTTGAGGCGTTCGGATCTCCTCTTTGGATCTGAAGATCAATCTTTTGGAGATCTTGGAGCTTTCTTCAGCAATAGAAAATCTTTGGGGATTTTCTATTTAGCTTTAAAACAGATTTTCGGTTCAAATTAACTCTGTTATAGAGTTTAAACTTGTTCTGAGTTTTATAATTCGTTAAGCGTTATTTCTTTTAAACTTGTCACACAAGTTCTATCAACCGTTCCAGTGAAGTGAGACATTCGGATCGTCAACGAGAAGCAAACTCGATACAAACATTGAGGGAGGCATCTCATCGCTACTGTGAAGAACCCAGTTTTAAACAAAGGAGAGGACCTCCGTCAACCCTCTTCTCTTTTGTAAATCGGGATTCAGGTTGAGAATATTTGTAATTTCTTTTTCTGAGCATGTTAGAGAGATTACTTTGAGAGAATTGTAAACCATTCTTTATCTAAATCAGTTAGAGAGAATAAAATCAAATACATTTCTCGTAATTATTCTTCCAATTTTTCCACCAAACAATATCACTATTTTTGGAGGTGGGAATTCATTGAAAGATTTGAGGGACCTCTCCCAAGCTGATCTGACCTAGAAGTACAAGTTATTAAATAAAAAAGATGAACCAAATACTTTAAGAATGCTTAGATGAGCAACAACAATAACAAATGATGTCTGACTTGGAGGCACAAGTGAAAGCTATGCATGCTATTTTTATTTGGCAACATACTAATAGTTCTCGACTCCTTGTACTAGAGAAGATATGCAAGGCTAGATAATTATTTATTTAAGATTATCTTATTTACTTTTAAGAGTGACTACTTGAACTCGAGAAGTAGTAATTTTTTCTTTACAATATAATATTTGCAATAGCTCTAGTAACACCTATGAAATAACTGAAGAGGAATGAACAATTATAAGTGATTTAAAAGAGATGTTACAAATTTTTTATGATGCTATAATGTTATTATCTAGCTATTATTATCCAACCATTACTTTAGCTGCTTTACAAATTTTAAATATTTAAAAAATTGCTAAATATCGTATGAATGATACTTATGGAGCTATAGTTTTTCAAATGGAGAGCAAATTTAATAAGTATTTTAGGCTTATTCCTCATATTTTTGATTTGGGGGTTCTTATTGATTCGCAATTGAAGGATATTAGCCTTCGAAATTTGTTACAATCCTTGTATGATAATTAGATTATAGACTTAGATGATAGATCCATCATTATTGCTACTTCTCATCATAATATTATTAGAAATTATTTTTAAACCTTATATGATGAGTATGCAGCTAAACATTGTGTAGTTGCACAGCAGTCTACAGCTTCGATTTCTTCGAGCTCAAGTCGACGTAAAAGTGTAAGTTTTGATAGGTATGCAATGGTAGCTGAACTAACTAGTGGATCTGGACTTAGATCATCATTGGAGATTTCTGAAATATATGCATATTTATCTGCTTCTTTAGTTAAATGTCAAAATAATAATTTAGATATTTTGTAATGGGGGAGAGTATATGGATCAGTTTCATATCCTATACTTTCCATCATGGTTCGTGGCTTACTAACAGTGCATGTTTAGACGGTAGCTTCGGAATCCGCCTTCAACACAGCAGAACTTTGATCGACGATCACATGACATCATTAGATCCGTATACTGTACAGGCGGTGATGTGCTCACAAGATTGGTGGAGATCCGTATACTGCAAGGAATCGATCGGCTGGCTGGAATTGAAGATAAATTCGAAGAATTGAGACTAGCAGATAGATATAAAGATTAAATAATATTCATCAAATTGTAATTTTTTATTTCTTAGTTAAATTTTGCAATGAGTTATTTTAAAAACAGTTACAAATGATAGTGATATAGGTGAGTAGGTGCCAACCTAGTTGGGATGTACTCATCTATTGTGATGCGACGAATTCCGAAATAAATTTATACTTGTAAAGGATCTACTGATTATTAATAAAGAAGTTATTTTTTATCATCTGTTTTTTTTATAATTTTTTACATTTGTGATTTATGTAATTTCAAGTGATTAATAATATTATTGTTTTTTATTAAAATTTTGTGTAATTTTTTATGTAAAATTAGAGTTTTAAAGAGATTTGAAAAAAATAAAAATAATCGGGCCAGCTTGGAGCCCGGCCCGCTCGGGCCCGGGTTTCGGTTTTGCCCGGCCCAGACTCGGCTTCCCGGGCCGGGCCGGGCTGGATGGACAACCCTATCTATCACTGCTTCATCTCAATATACTACGTGATAAAGAGTGGACATGTCACTTGAGAATTTGCACTAATTTTTCTTTCATAATTTGTACTAATTTTGGCAGGGCTCTAGAGCTTTATTAAAGTAGTGGGCCGAGATTTGCAAGCAAACTACGCGGAACCATATATGCCACTGGAAGTTTTAAATAGTCAAAGGAGAAAACTACTGCGCTCTGCTATATTGCTTTCACTTGTCCATTCACGGTAGTGGAAGGTGAGCTTGCGCTGTGCTATATAGCTTTCACTTGTGCATTATTCATTATAAGGTGAAGCTGAGGTTTGAGGGGTAGAACAATGGAAGTGGAGGTTGGAGGTGCTGCCAAGGCTCCCAATGTTCAGGTTCCTTCTCTTACTTTTTAATTACTTCCACGTCTTCTCATATTATGTATCTATTTTGTCTAGTTAGTAAACTAGGATCATATGATTTTTGTGAGAAACACTCTAAAGCTCAAGGGAGTTTTGTAAATTTAACCCTATCTTTTCATGTAAATAAACTACAATAAAAGCAGATAAAATAATCATAGGAATGTTAAATAGAAGGGGAAAATGCTTCCAGCTCCTAAAACCCAAGAAAACGTGCTTCCCCCCTAAGACTTTGTCAACTCAACGGGTGTTTTGCCACTAAAAATAAAGATTTTGTTCTCTGAACCCCCAAAACATAAAACCCAAGAGATTAAAATATGTAAAAACCATAATACCCTTCTCTCTCTCTCTCTCTCTCTCTCTCTTTATCACGATGTTACTGATATTGAAATGATTGATGGGCATTGTTATTTTATTATTTTTGTTTTTTTTATTATTTTCGTTGTTGATGAGAGGAACTAACTGTTTTATTTGTATTGGGAGATTGTTAAGGTTACAGGTTTAATTGTTAAAGTTACGAGTTTAATTGTTAAGATCACGGGTCAATTGTTAAGGTTATGGATCTCCTCTCTCTCTCTCTCTCTCTCTCTCTCTCTCTCTCTCTCTCGTAACCTTAATAATTAAACCCCTAACCTTAACAATTAAACCCGTAACCTTAAAATTAAACTCGTAACCTTAACAATTGACCCGTAACCTTATCAATTAAACCTGTAACCTTAACAACTAAACATGTAACCTTAACAATTAAACCCATAAGCTTAACAATTAAACTCGTAACCTTAACAATTGACCCGTAACCTTAATAATTAAACCCGTAACCTTAACAATTAAAGAGAGAGAGAAAGAGAGAGAGAGAGAGAGAGAGAGAGAGAGAGAATCCATAACCTTAACAATTGACCCGTAATCTTAACAATTAAACTCATAATCTTAAAAATTAAAGCCGTAACCTTAACAATATTCCAATACAAACAAAAACAATTAGTTTTCCCATCAATAACGAAAATAATAAAAAACAAAAATAATAAAAAATAAAAATAATAAAATAACAATTCCCATCAATCATTTCAACTATCAGTAACATCATGATAGAGAGAGAGAGAGAGAAAGAGAGAGAGAGAGAGATCCATAACCTTAACAATTGACCCATAACCGTAACAATTAAACCCGTAACCTTAACAATCTTCTAATACAAACAAAACAGTTAGTTCCTCTTATCAACAACGAAAATAATAAAAAAATAAAAATAATAAAATAACAATGTCCATCAATCATTTCAACTATCAGTAACATCATGATAAAGAGAGAGAGAGAAGGGTATTATGGTTTTCACATATTTTAATCTCTTGGGTTTTGTGTTTTGGGGGCTCAAAGAATAAAATCTTTATTTTTGGGGAGCAAAGCACCCGTTGACAAAGTCTTGGGGGGGCACGTTTTCTTGGGTTTTGGGGGCTGGAAGTATTTTCCCCTAAATAGAAAGAAGATAAGTTCAGTGAGAGAAGGAAAAATAAGAATAAAATAACAATTAGAAATTTTTATTGAAAAATAAAATAAAATAAACAAAATATAGACATGTTAATTAACATATTAATTTGAAAAGTAAATATATTAATGTTAATATGAAACCATCGCCCTTCAGATATAAGGTTTTTTTTTTCAATATTAGTCCCCTGATACTTTCATATTTTGATATTAGTACTTCAAATATTCATATTTATTCATATTTGAAATTAGTCCCTTAAATCTTAAGTGTTTCGAAATTAGTCTATCAGATCTCCATATTTTGGAATTAGCCCCCCAAATTTTATAATTTTTTTTTAAATTAGTCCGTCCAAGTTAGCACCACGTTGAAAGACTTAGGGGGCCGGACTAATTTCAAAATATGAAGATGGAGGACTAATTTGAAAATGATTAAACTTTTAGGGTTCCTTTTTAAACTATGAAGATTTGGGAGGCTAATACAAAATATGAAAGATTTTGGGGATTAATAACTAAAAAACCCTTAAATATATCCATCTTATAAATAATGTTTTAAGCATTTGGTTCAAAAATACATCATACTTATAATCACTTAGAGACGAAGTGTACCAAATTGCTTGAATATGCAGAATTATCAGAAAAACTTTAAGGTTTCAAAGTTAAAAATGTGTAAACTTTAAGGTATCAAAGTGTCAAAAGATTTAGGGGTATTAAAGTTAAAAAGATGTAAACTTTAGAGTAAACAAGTGCAATAGACTTTTTTTTTAACAAAAAGATGGGTTTTAAAAGAGAAATCATAACTAAGAGGTATTTTGATCATCGAGGAACCAAATTGCAAGGCCTTTCAGGAATTGAGGGACTGATGGGCAATTATTGAAAATATAAAATTATTGAAGATGTGATGGGCTAACACTAAATAACCCTTTTAAAAATCCTTACCCATGCTTTTTACAATAGTAGTCAATTCTTCCCACAACTTCATGTGACTCACATCTCCAAGGCTGACAAAGTGAGTACAAAACTAAATGATCTTTCTCAAAATTTCAATACAAAGTGAGTACAAAACTAAAGGACCTTTCTCAAAATTTCAATGCAAAGCATATCCTTGAAGACTGCAAGCAGAATTTTATACTCTTAAGTAGCATAATTACAGGACTCTTGGGAGGGATACTGTAAACTTCTACATTAGCTACAGTGATTCATCCAAAATTTTTACATACAGATAAATTTTCTGCTCATCTTGTTCCGGTTACTGAAAATAAAATTGTATAGGTTCTCGCTGCGAAGATTGCATCGGATTCGACAGTTGAGGTGCCGGAGAGATACATAAGGCCTGAGATCAACGATGAGCCGATGGCTGAGTTTGTTGATCTTCCAGTCATAGATTTCAATCGGCTGATGGATCCGGAGCTCTCTCAAGAAGAGTCTCTTAAACTCAATCATGCTTGTGAAGAATGGGGCTTCTTTCAGGTTCACTAGTTTAGAGTCTAAGGTGGCTATACATAATAGAATGATTAGGACCGGTTTGTCTCTCTACGGTCTTGACTGGTGCGTCTCTGACGTGACGGACATCTAAGTCATGAAATAGGACAGTGTTTGTGATTTGAATTATCATGGACTAGATGTGTATCATGTCAACGACACACTAGTCAATGCCACAAATAAACGTCCAGTCCTTGTAAAGACACCCAAAAAAGGTGTAATTATTTGTTCTAACAATGCTTCAATACTTTTGCAGTTAGTTAATCATGGAATGCCAGAAGAACTGATGAAGAAAGTGAAGGAGGACACAACTGAATTCTTCAAGCTTCCTGTGGAGGAGAAGGAGGCTTATGCGCAAATACCAAACAACATCGAAGGCTATGGATCAACATTTACACTGTGGGAGGAGAGAAAGCTAGACTGGGGAGATATGTTGTTCCTTGTTACTCGTCCCCAAGACCAAAAGAAAATGAGATTCTGGCCTTCTCATCCTCTCACTTTCAGGTCTGCAGCTTAAAACAAAATCTATGGTGCCTTCAACGTCAACAACTAAACAAAACAACCAAAAATGAAAAAAGAAAACAAACAAAAATATGTCAAAATAAGAAACAAAAAAAGAAGAACAGAAAAGAATAAGACATCCCTAGACTTCTTGAAAGAAAATCGTTTTTAAAGTAAGTTTGTATCCCTAAAATTCAAAATAGTTTGGTACCCCTATTTTTCAAGGAAAAATTACTTCAAGGCTTCAAAATTCAAGTTTCAATGTGCCCCCCCCCCAAAAAAAAAAAAAAAACTTCCCCCAATGTGTTACAGCCCCTACAATTTGAAAAAAAAATATGTTCAGACCCCTCTCCCCAAGTTCCATTGCAACCTCCTCCAAAATCCCGATTTTACCCTCTCCCTAC